CTGTATATATATCAGCAACAGTATGAAATCCTTAAGTTTTTCCCAACGTTCTTTCTTGAAAGAAAAATAATAGCTATTGTAAATAAGTGATTCAAATGAGAGAGGGATAAATTTAACCAACTCCTTTATACAGCCAAAAAAGTAATTAATATTTATAAAGGAAAATTAAGAGCAGTGAAAATAATTGTAATACAAATTATCCTTGGGTTTTGGAATAGGTAATAAAAACACAAGGTAGAAAATAAAAATTATATAAAAGAAATATAATGAGGGGTGCCTGGATGGCTCAACCATTTAAGTGTCTAGCTTATGAATTCAGTTCAGTCATGGGATGACGCCCCATGTTGACTCTGTGTTCAGCAGGGAGTCTGCTTGGGATTCTCTCTTTCCCTCTACCTCTGCCCTTCTCCCCACTCACGTTCACTCTCTTTCTCTCAAATAAATAAAAATCTTTAAATAAAATTTTTTTAAAAAGGAAATATAGTATACCTAAGAAAGTAACATTCCCTGTCACCTTTATCCCCACTATCCCCAGCAGCCTAGGAAAACCACTGTTAAAATTAAAATTTTCAGGGCACCTGTGTGGCTCTGCCTTCAGCTCAGGTCATTGGGATCGAGCCCCACGTCGGGCTCTCTGCTCAGCAGGGAACCTGCTCCCCTCTCTTTCTCTGCCTGCTTCTCTGCCTACTTGTGATCTCTGTCTGTCAGATGAATAAATAAAATCTTTTTTAAAAAAATTAAAATTTTCCTTGGGTTATTTGGTTCTTATAATCCTTAAGTTACACAAGTTCTTTATATATTTTGGACTCAACCCTTAACAGGTATATGGTTTACAAACAGTTTCTCCCATTTGAGGGGTTGTCTTTCACACTTTCTTGTGAGAATCTTTCAAAGCAGAAGAGCTTTTAGTTTTAATGAAGTCTAATTTATCTATTTTTTTCTTTATTGCCTTGTGCTTTGATGTCATGTTTTAAAACCATTGCCTGATTCAAGGTCACAAAGATTCACATCAATGTTTTCTTCTAAGACTTTTAGAGTTTGGGTTTGTATGTTGAGGTCATGGATCCATTTCAAGTTAATTTTTTAATATGGTGGGAGGTAGAGATACAATTTCATTCTGTTGCATATGGATAACAAGACAGTTGGAGTCCCTAACCGAAAGAATCCTGTGTAGTTATACTGATATCAGATGAAGTAGACATTAAACCAGGAATTATTACTAGAGATACAGAGCAACACTTCAAAATGATTAAGCACACAATCTACCAGGAAGATAGAACAATTCTATTTTTGTACACACCTAATAGCATGGCTTCAAAATATATCAAACATAAATCAGTAGAATTAAACTAGTAGAATTCATTTATTTAAAAAATCAATAAACAAATATACAACTGCAGTGGCAGGCATTAACACACATCTCTTAGTAGAAATGGAGAGAAAATGTGACCAAGACAATTAATATTCTTTACCTAATTTACATGTATAGAATGCTTTAACCCACCAAAACAGAATATATATTCTTTTTAAATGTACACAGACTATTTATCAAAGTTGACTATTTCTGGATCTTAAAGCAAGACTTAACTGCAAAGGATTTAAGTGATTTAGAATATAGTTTCTGACCACAATGACATCAAGTAAGAGTTCAATAACAAAAGGATAATTAAACTTCATATTTGTACCTTGTTGGATATAACAGCCATTCTTCAAATGTATTGCTACAGAAGAACATCCAGGCAAAACAGAGCTTTGCAGTGGGATAGATTTTCAGTCTCTGAATAGAGCAGTATAGCACCCTATTTGCGAACCTTACTTCCTGTGTTGGGGCAGAAACATCTTATACCCCCAGGAGCTCTAGTCTCAGGCATTCAGATAAGGGCCAGTCTCTGGACTGGAGTAAGAACAAGAGAAATTTCAATGAGAAGAAGAATTTCTATCATGCTCTGCCCTGGCCTGCTGTGGGCATTTGTAGCCTCCTTTGGCTTCAGTAAGTGTGGCCCTAAACATGGGGCTCAGCTTCCTCTTGGAGTTCAAGAATGGGACTACACAAGTTGTAACTGACTGGGGTATTAAGAGGGAAGAGAGATGGGGAAGTGAAAAGTTGTGTGATTCTTTGTCCTTGTGTCATAAATTAATCTAGTCCCCATGACCCATCTGAGACATTTCAGAGAACCAACCTTGCCTTCTTTCTCCATAGGATCCAGCACTGCTGAGAAGGCCATCCAGACTCAGCGTACAGTAACAATGCAGGAAGGAGAGTCGGCCACCTTTTACTGCAAGTATGAAACCAGTCAGAGTAATTATTATACTTTGTATTGGTACAAACAGCTTCCCAGCGGAGAGATGATTTTCCTCATTTACCAGGATGAAAGAAAGCCAAATGCACAGCAGGGTCGTTTCTCTCTGGACTTTCAAAAGGCAATAAAAATCATCAGTCTCACCATCTCTCCCTTAAAACTGACAGACTCCGCCATGTACTTCTGTGCTTTGGGTAGCCCCACTTTAATAAAAATAATAGTGGAAGATGAACAAAAACCTTAGCTCCATAAAGGCAGACACCTGCCCTGGGGCTTAGGAAAAACCCGTGAACCACTGACAGGAAGAAGGCAGGAGTGTGGTAGCCCAGTTGAGCCCCCCTAAAATAAACTTCCCTTCTATAAAAAAGAAAAATGTTCTCATAATTAAGCTCAGTGTATAAAACAGCACTGTTTCCTGAGATTTCCAGGTATTAGGTTTGTATCTTGGGTGAAAATGAACCACAAAGTGGTTTTTCAAATGATCCCTTAACAGTTAGATTTGTTTAAAAATTAAAAAAGAAAGAAAGAGGAAGCTCAAAATGGACTCCTTTGTGCTAACACCCATATCAGTAAACCAAGACTTAATTCCTAACCTAACTATAGTTCCAACATCCCAGGAATGTGACCATTGACCTGTCAACATGGAATTACCTGGTCAGCACTAGTGAGATAACCTGCCAGAGAGAGTCCTCTCTCTTCCTCTTAGGAAGGTAACCTTGCCTAAAATGATGCATTCTTTGCTAATAATTTCTTTTTTCTGCTCCCTATCTATCAAATCCCATGCCAAACAATTAACAATGTGGACTTCGGCAACTGCCTTCAAACACAGGAAGAACAAAGCACTAAGGAAAGTAAAAGGAATTTGGTTGAGAGGGATTTTTAGAACTACTTCTAGGAGAAAAAATATCACAGAAATAGTTCTAAAATCCCCAATGACTGAAAATAATTCAGTCTTTAATCTCACAGTATTGTGGTAGAAAGCTCTTCACTGAGCCTTGCCACTAGAGGGAGGTAGCATATACAAGGTATTTATCTTTAGACCTAAAACACAAATCTTGAAAACAAAGAGAGGAACAGAGAAAGAGAAAGAGAGAAAGAAAGAAAGAAAAGGAAGGGAGGGAGGAAGGGGGAGAAACAGAGAGAGGGAGAGAGAGAGAGAAGGAAGGAAGGAAAAAAAGGAAGGGAGGGAGGAGAGGAGCAAAGGGAGGGAAGGAGGAAGGAAGGAAGGAAGGAAGGAAGGAAGGAAGGAAGGAAGGGAGGGAGGGAGGGAGGGAAGGAGGGAGGGAGGGAGGGAAAGAGAGAAAGAAGACGGAAGAAGAGAAGAGAAAGAAGGAAAAGGAAGTGAAGGGAAGGGGAGGGAAGGGAAGTAGGGAGAAGAGGAGAGGAGAGGAGACAGGCTGTGGAAGGACTTTGGTCCTTGTTCTAAGTAAAGGAGTTTGTACATACAGTCACAAGAGGGAGCTGTTACACCTGCAAACAAATGCTCCTTCGAGAGTGAGAGGAAGATTATCACAGAGTTGTGCAAAAATTTAATTTTCCTCCTTTTTGTCACCTTGTACTTCATAATCTCACATGGAGTGTGTGCACAGCTTCAAGGATGTAGGCAAACCTCTTCCCCAATACAAAGAGCTGACCATTCATAAGAAGAAAAGAGAGAGGTGATTAAGTGTAATTTTTAACGGCCAAACATTGGTTCCTATAGTAGAGTGATAAGCTTAGTTATTATAGCAGAGAAGGATGAGTAATTTTAATTTTATTCATTCCATTTCTTTAATAACAACTGTTTTTGAGAATAAACAGGGAAACTCTTTAATGTTTATTTCCCCTTATCTTGGGAAATGACTTCATATCAAATCATCTCTTCTCACTCCTTCTTTCTTTTTAGTGGCCTCAATGCATTCCACAACCAGGCATGGCCATGGAGTTGAGAAAATAGGTGTTAAAGAGGGGCTCAGGTGGGACAGGAATAAGTATCACTCAAGTCATTGGTTCCTGTATCAAGACAAGAAACCTCCAACAATGCCTCTCTGGAAGATACTTAAAACATCATTCCTGGAGCCAACACGGGAGACCTGCATACCAGGCACCTTGGCTGTTAGACTGGATTCCAATTTTACTTTTTCCTGCTAGACTGAGTATAGTACGATCATAAAGCTATGAAGTTATTTTTGTCACAGAGTTGCAAATATTTTCTTCTTATTGGATGTTTAACTCATTTATGATCTTTTTTTTTTTTAACCAGGAAGAAATCTCTAACTTTTGAAGTTAAATTGTCTATTACTGCTCTTGAGATGTACTTGCTCTGGCTGGGAATATGGATAGGAATTCTCTTCTTCCATTTGCAGTACAGGGCTCAACATAGTTTTCTTAGATTAAAGGACATTTCATACCAACTCAATGGAACATTGAGCCACCGATTAGTGATGGGTTTTGCCGCATACCACAAATGAGAGATGGACAACCTCTTTGGGGATGATTTTCCTCATTCAGGTTCACTCAGACCTGTTTGAATTTGAACCTTGAAGAGGATCTCAGTGTAAACCCTCTGAATTAAGGCTAGACACTGGGAAAATATTCTTAGCTCTCTTTTCAAAAATTTTTTTAATCCTAAGGGTAGGAGTAGACCCAACCAAGAGACTGTTCCATCCTTAACCAATGCTTGGCAGGGGAACACCCAGATTGAAAGCTGCCTGATATAGAGCTGTGCTAGTGGGTGCTGTGCTGTTCCTGGGCCCTCCCCCAACCTAGGTTAAGATACAAACCTGAGCTCAGAGACCTGGGACCCTGGTTTGCACTGGAACTATGAGATCACTAACAAGAATCACTATTCTCCTAACTTTAGGTAAGTGATCTGGGTCTAATAAAGATGACATTGTATCTGCTACTTCTCCTTCTTCCACTGTCTTTACTACACTGCTGGGAAAAAAATGCATCTATACTTTTCTGTGTGTCTATATGATTCTCTATAGAGTCTCAGTATCATTGTGAGGGCTGATCATATCCACTCTTCACAGATCTCCTGAGTCTCACAGCTCTCAGGCTTGTAAGGAGGTTTGGGTTCATTGAGCCCAATGGTCATGGAACTCAGAAACTTATCTTTGGCCTTGTGGCTCTAGATGGCTCAATAATGAATACCAGTAATATTTCTCTTGTCCTGTGTAACACATGCAAAAATGCTCAACTTTTGGTGTAAAGCCAGAGAGGAGAGTTCTGGGAGTGCTTGTGAAGCTGACCTTAGGGGTACCCACATTTGACAAGCCAGAGCTCATCTATTTTTTCTCAACCCCTCAGGTATTATGAGCGATGCTGACACCACACAGCCAAATGCAATGGAGAGTACTGAAGGAGAGCCTGTCCACCTGCCCTGTAACCACTCCACAATCAGCGGAAATGAGTACATATATTGGTATCGGCAGATTCCTAACCAGGGTCCGGAGTACATGATTCGTGGTCTAAAAGACAATGTGACTGAAGGAATAGCCACTCTGATCATCACAAGAGCTAGGAAGTCCAGTACTTTGATTCTGCCCCGGGTTACCCTGGGAGATGCTGCTGTGTATTACTGCCTCCTGAGAGAGGCACACTAAGATAGATGGGGCTGCCCCCATACAAGATCTGCCTGGTGGGGGAGGGGAAGGAGCAGCTGCCATCTCCAAAAGCCACCACACAAGAATGAGTGGGAGCCCGATAAGAGAGAGAAGTAACACAGAAAAGAGGAAAGAAATAAAAAGAAGACAGAGAGCAACCACGGGGTTGTCCCAAAGACTTTCTTCATTCAGGCCCAAGGAGGTGCCCAAGCTCTGGATATCATATCATATCAGTCCTTCCAACTCCTCAAAAATGGGAATGAATTTCAGAAACTGATTCATTTGCCCTTGAAAAATATTTGCTTATCTGTAGCACACACATCATTGTGCTAGCGGGTGTTGTGCTGTTGCTGGGACCTCCACCAATAAAGACAATTTGGTGGAAGAGATAAATAAGAGACAAATATGTGGATATTAATTTCATTTCTAGAATTTATGTTGAAATATTATTATTACACACAAAAAAACACACAAATATTTTCTCATTGTAAAAGACTCAAGTTATTACGTAAGGATGTAGAGTAAAGCCTAAAAGCCCAGTCTGAGTCTCCCCACTTCCTCTCCATTCCCTTTTCAATTCCTACAATAACCTATTTTGACAGTTTGGAGTATGTCTTAACAATCACATTCTTTTTCATTTATCAGGATGCTCATGTAAATACCAATTTTCTCACACAAATTGGATCATATCAGGTGTATTTTTCTGCAGCTTGTTTGTATTTTTTATTTAAAAATGTATTTTTAATTTTTTTATTTTTTATTTTTTTATTATGTTAGTCACCATGCAATAGATCATTAGTTTTTAGTGCAGTGTTCCATGATTCATTACTTGCTTATAACACCCAGTGTTCATTACAACATGTGCCCTCCTTAATACCCATCACTGGGCTACCCCATCCCCCCATCCCACTCCCTTCTGAAACCCTCAGATTGTTTCTCAGAGTCCATAGTCTCTCATGGTTTGTCTCCACCTCTGATTTTATTTTAAAGATTTTATTTATCTAGAAAGAGAGAGAGAACTTGCAAGCCAGGAGAGGGGCAGAGGGAGAGGGAGAAAGAAAATCTCAGGCAGGCTCCCTGCTGATGCTGGAGCCTGATATGGAGCTCAATCTCATGACCCAGAGATCAGGACCTGAGCTGAAATCAAAAGTCTGATGCTTAAATGACTGAGCCAACCTGGCACCTCTAAAAATGTATTTTTGAGATGTGTTCATATACATACACATGCACATATGGACTTTATCCTGTGTATAAAACTTCAATTAACTTGCACACTTCCTAATAATATTTAAATTTTTTACTTCTCTTAGGTCTCATAATCAGAATCACAAATCAACAAACAAATATGATTTATATATGGATATTTTTATATGGATGAATTCTTAGAGGTGAAATTGCTGGGTCAAAGGATAAGCCTAATATTATATTTTTACAAGTATTGAAAAGTTGTCTTCCAAAATGTCTCTAACAATCTACACTGCAAAACACAGCATATGGGAAACCTATTTCCCTGCATCTTGGTTAACACCATTATCAGTCTTTTTTAGATTTTAGACAACTTGAAAGTACTTTGTTGGTTTCATTGGCATTTTCCTGATTACGAGGGCAGTTGAACAACTTACTCTGTACATTTGCACTTTTATAGATTGTCTTTTCCTTGTTTATTTGTAAAAATTATTTTAATACAATCAACATTACTTTGCCTGTTACATGTATTACACACACTTGCTCCAAATATACTGTTTATTTTATGTTTGTTTATTCAGTGATTATCAGGGATATTTTTATTTTTATATTGTCAAATCCAAGCCTTCTAAGAAGACTTTACCTATTCCAAGTTGATAAATCAAAATTCTTACAATGTCTCCTAATCAAGGGCATTCTTTTAATCAGCCTGAGAGTGATTGGGAGAGAGAGAGATTGGGAGCTCTGCTAGGTTTAGATATTTGACAAAGGGAGACAGGAGTCTCAATCAAAATGATAGACTCTACAATTCTGCACTTCACTGTAGAAGGGACAATGTACAAGGTGAATTTTAAAAATTAAAGAGTAACAGACTTACTGATTAAAAAAAAAACTACTTACTGTTTATTATGGGTTGAATTGTGCCCCCCCCACACACATATATCACACACACACACACACACACACACACACACACACATTGCAGTCCCAACCTCCAGAACTTCAGAATATAACCTTATTTGGAAATAGGGTCTTTACAGAGATAATCAGTTAAAATCAGATCATTATGGTGGGCTCCCATCCAACATGACTTCTATCCTTATAAAAAACAAAAATTGTGTTCATGGATTAAAAGACTCATATTAAAACATTAATTCTCAAGAGACCTGGGTGCTGTAATCAGTTGGGCATCCGACTCTTGATTTCAGCTCTGGTCATGATCTCCGGGTCATAATATCAAGCTCCATCTCCATCTCTGTGCTCAGCATGGAGTCTACTCAAGATTCTCTCTTCCTCTCCCTCTTCCCTTCCTTCTCATCCTCTCTCTCTCCCTCAAATAATCTTAAAAAAAAATGTTAATTCTCTCCAAATTGATGTATAGATTCAATGTAATATCAATAAAAAATCCCAATAGAAAGTTCTATAGAAATTGTCAAAAGGATTGTCAGATACACCTGAAAATTAAAAAGGACTATGTTAGTAAAAATATTTTGAAGGGAGTAACAAATTTGAAGAACTAACACTACTGATACTAAATTGTTTTAATGAAGATATAATAGAGAAATTATAGGATTGATGTAAAGATAGATAAATACAACATTGAAACAGAATAAAAAGTCCAGAAATAGACTCAGACATATAAAATCAGTTGATTTTCAATAAAATTACCATAACAATTCAGTGAGGAAAAAATCTTTTTAATAAATCATGCTTGAACAGTTGATAGCCATATTCAAAAATATAAACGCTAACCCTCAGCTCACACTATATAAGAATTTGACTCCAAATAGACCATAGATCTAAATAAGAGGGCTAAAACTATGAGCTTCTAGAATAAAACATTGGGGAAAATCTTAGATACCATGGTTTGGCAAAGACTAATTATGACACAAAGGATACATGACATAAGATTTCAAAAATCTACACAAATTAAAAATAGAACTACCATATGACCTAGCAACCCAACTTCTGGGTATATATACAAAGGAATTGAAATCAGGATCTCAAAGATATCTGTATTCCCATATTCATTGCAGCATTATTCACAAGAACCAAGACACGGAAACAAGCCAGTGTCCATTGATGAATGGATAAGGAAAATGTAGTGTTTACATACAGTAGAATATGATTCAGCTTTTAAAAAGGGAAGAAAATCCTGTCATTTGTAACAACATGGATGAACCTGGAAAACATTATGCTAAATGAAGTAAACCAAACACAGAAGAAGAAAATACTACCTGACCCCTTATGTGATTAATCTAAAATGGTCAAATTCATAGTGGCAAAGGATAGAATGGTGGTTAGTAGGGGTTGGTGGGAGAAGAAATGCAGAGGTGTTGATCAAAGGATATAAAGTTTCAATTATGCAACATGAATAAATTATGCAACATGAATATATGCAAGAGATCTACTATACAGCACAGTGCCTATAGTTAACAATACTATATTGTATACTTTAAAACTTCCAGGGGCTGGAAATTTTCCAGGGACTGGCTGGCTCAGTTCAGCAAAGCATGCAACTCTAGATCTTGGGGCTGTAGGTTTGAGTCCCACATTGGGTATAGAGATTACTTAAAATAAATAAAATCTTTAAAATAAAACTTGCTAAGAAATATTTTAGATCCTATGTTAAGGGTTCCTATTACACAAAAAAATTAAATTTAAAAATAGAGAGTAGGAGGAAACCTTTGGAGAAAACCACGATATTAATCGTAATGATAGTTTCATAAATATAGTCTTGTCTCCAAACTCATCTAGTTGTACACATTAAATATATACATCATTTTGTATGCCAATCATACCTCAATAAAGTGGATTTTTAAAAAATCAGTACTCAGGACTTTACAATATTAAAAATATTTGCTTTTTAAAAGAAACTATTAAGAAAATAGAAAACAAAAGCCAGAGACCAGGAGAAAATCTTTACAAAATGTATATCTAAAATATATACAAAATGTATCTAGAATATCTATTTTTAAAACTCTTACAACTTAGTAGACACTCAATTTTTTTAATAAGCCGGAGATTTGAACAACAAAAACAACAAATCCCTATGTATTGTAAATAAGCATGAAAGAATGCTCAGCATCAATATTGTTAGGGAAAATGCAAATTAAAATAACAAGATTCCACTACATACTTACGAGAATGGCTAAAATGTAAGTGACTGACCACACCAAGTATTGGTGAAGTTTGGGAGCAACTGGAACTCTCAACATACTGCTGTTGGGAATGCAAATGGTACAATCACTCAGCAGACAGCATCACCTTTTACTAAGGTAAAACATGTTAAACATGAACCTACCATATAGCCTACCAATTACACTCCTGGATACTAACCCAAAAGAAATAAAAGTTTATGTCTATACAGACGGTTATAAGTGTCTTCATAATAGCTTCGAAAACAGTAATTGGAAATAACCCAGAAGTCCATCAACAGGTGAATGGATAAATTGTGGTATAGATAAACAATGGAATACTAGTCAACAATTAAAGGAATGAATTACTGATAAATGTGACAATGTGGATGAATCTCAAAATAAATAGGCCAAAAGAAACCAGACAAAAGAGAGTATATACTACTATGAGTCTATTTACGTAAAACTCTAGAAAATGCAAACTCATCTATAGTAAAAGAAGGCAGACCAGTGATTGCCTGGGCTGAATGGTGGGTGGAGGGATGTGCCAGGAAATTATAGAAGAGGGGTTCAAAAGGACCACAATGAATAGGGTCACAAGGGGGTCTAGGGAGGTAGTGCATATGCTCACTACCTAGATGGTGATTATGGTTTCACATTTGTATGTCCATGTCAAAAATGACCAAATTGTACATTTTCTTTTTTTTTTAAGATTTTATTTATTTATCAGAGAGCGAGCAACCACAAGAGGGGGAGTGACAGGCAGAGAGAGAAGCAAGCTCCTTGCTGAGCAAGGACCCTGGGATCATGATCTGAGCCAGAGGCAGACGCTTAACTGACTAAGCCACCCAGATGTCCCCAAATTTTACATTTTAAATCTCTGCAGCTTATTATATGTCATATTGGGTATGCCTCAATAAAGCAGTTTTTTATAAAACTAAAATCAAAAGTAGGCAGAACTAAATGTTGAAAAATAATTGGTTCTAGAAGCAGAATCTTTCACTTTCTTTTCATTATAAAGAAGAAACTGTTTCAAACATGCAAAAGTAGCAAGGTATTTTCGATATCCAATAATAAATACCATACTCATTGCAATAAATAAATGTAACTCATCTGTATAAATTAATTCTAGAAGTCATCCATTATTCAGTATTTCTCAATCTAGCCAAAAGGTGGCAGTGTTCAAAAAATATTTGAGTTCAGGTTTGCAGTGCTGGAGGAACTGCAAAGCAGGTCTGGTCTCTCTGGTGCAGAGTTCTACACCAGTGAGACCCCACTGAACTCAAGTAACCTGTGCTAGGGAAGCTCATTCGAGAACACCCAATTGGGCTGTCTCCTGAGGAACCAGAGGATGGAGACTCTCCTGCAAGTACTCATAGGGATATTAGAGTTGCAGGCCGCCTGTAAGTATGGGGTTAGTCTAGGAGAGTTAGGGGACGCTGACAGTCCCTGGGGGCAAGGACTGAGTCATCTTCTGCCCTGCAGAGGCCCATCTGAGAGCCAGATACATGCTGAAAAGATAGACAATATTCTATGTTGTTGTGATAGTGTTGCTGGCCCAGAAGAATTGAAGGGGGGGGCGGCGGGCAGAGAGAACCCATCCCTTCTATGAGCTTGAAGATCTGATGTGGTCACCTGCATTTTCTTTACATTGTCTTTTTGAACAGGGGTCAGTAGTCAAGAACTAGAGCAGAGTCCACAGTCCCTGACTGTCCAAGAGGGAGAAGATTTCACCATAAACTGCAGCTCATCAGAGCCTGTGTATGCCCTACACTGGTACAGACAAAAGAAGAGCAAAGGTCTAATCTCCTTGATGATATTGTGGAAAAATGGGGAAGAAAAGAATCATGAAGAAACCACTGCCACATTGGATAAGAAAAAACAGCAGAGTTCTCTGCATATCAGAGCCTCCCAGCCCAGCCACTCAGGCACCTACCTGTGTGCAGCAGATGCACTGTGATCTCCGGGCCTCTGCAGGGTGTCCCCAAACCTGCAGCTGGGCTGCAGGTGCTCTGCCAACACAGGGCTCCTGAGCAGGGCTGGGACATTTGCCAAGATGAGAAGCTTGAAGAAGATGCAGTAGTCTCATTGCAAAAAAAAAAAAAAAAGAAAAGAAAAGAAAAGAAAAAGAAAAACAGAGCAAGGTTCTGGAGTGAGAGTAGGAGAAGTTCTACCTTTATTTCCAAGTTCAATTTGACTTTTTGTCTTGGTAATTATTGCTTTCTAGTAGGTAGAAACCTCAGCTTGGGATAAAGATGGCATGAAGTTCAGTGATTTTTGCAATCACTGTGCACAGATCTTGTGCCTTTATTGCTCCAAGGAAACTTCCTCCCTTCTTCTACTCATTCAGCTTGTTAGTAGAAAAAAAATCTGAGTCATTTAGTAGATTCCTTGTGGCATTTTAGGACTGTACTGTGAGCAATATTGTCACACTGGGAGGAGTCAGGGACAGTGGTTTTTCCCAAGTTTATATTGTAAGCATAGAGATACACAAGTGGATGCATAGGTAGATAAGAGAGGGGGTTCTAATCCAGTCTCAGACCCCCCTCACTTCAACAACATGGCTTCACCTGTTCACACTGCCCACAGCCTCATCCACACCCAGTTTGCCCTTCACCTCTGATGTAGCTTCAAAAAGAAACAGATTATATTCAGTCCTTGTGGCAGAGCTCATCTTTCAGATTTTGTTTTCACTTGTTCTTGCCCACTATCCTTGATAAAAGATGTGCACTTAGAGCCAGATGAAGCACACAAAGATTTTGTCCTTATTTCTTCCACATCCCAGCACCTTTATTTGCCTCCCTCCTGAGGCTGCTCCTGCTCCCTCCCCCACTCCTAATGGTACTCTGTGACCTTCAATACCATTTTGCCCACCCAAACCCTAATGTTTTCTAGTCATTGAATTGCTTTCCAAAATCTTCTCCCACTTTATTGATTCCATATCCATTTCCCAGCTCACTCTCCAAAATGGAGTGGTTTGTAACCTAACTCATATCTCGATGCAACATTCTAGATTAGGTCTCCCTGGATTGCTTGTATTTGAAAGGGGAATGTTGGAGGAGACTCAGAGGAAGTCACCTCAACTGGTGCGCTTTCACTTATGGTGACAGTTGGAGAGGAAGGATGTTTCATAGCAAAATGCTATTTCCCATGCCGCTAAACCATCATGTAGGCCACCTGCCTGTATGTAGGGCAGTTCTCGTGGGCAAGAGGTGCAGACACCACACTGCAAGCATTGGTTAAAAAATACATTATTACTCAAATCTGTTTAGAAGGATAATACGAGGGGCACCTGGGTGGCTCAGTGGGTTAAAGCCTCTGCCTTCGGCTCAGGTAATGATGCCAGGATCCTGGGATCGAGCCCCGAATCGGGCTCTCTGTTCAGCGGGGAGCATACTTCCCCTTTTCTCTCTCTGCCTGCCTCTCTCCCTACTTGTGATCTTTATCAAATAAATAAATTAAATCTTTAAAAAAAAGAAGGATAATATGATCCAGCAAAGAATAAAGACAGAGATTCTAATGCTTGACACTACACATAATAATTTGCAGCATGGGTTATCTAAGATAGACTCCATCTCCATACAGTTGTTGTGATGGGATGTGTGATACCCCACACTGAAAGCACATACCCACTTAGAGTTAATATCGTAAAAGGCACAGAATGGCATATATAATTATCTTCATTTTACATATAAGAAAACTGAGAGTGAGAAGAAATTTCCATCAAGGAGTGCTTTTGAGAACTTGAATCCTGAGGAAGCACATTGGAGGCCACAGACACTCCAGAGACACAGAAGCCACTCATTTCCCACTCGCCTATAATGTGGCGCATCCTCACCTTGCCTTCTTCCTTTCAGTCGTGCCACCGAACACATTTTCTCGTGGTCACTGCCCACTGAAGCCAGGAGGCAAGTCGTGCTTTGTACTCACTTCCGTAAAATGCCTGTCAGAAAATGTTGGAATCAGGTCACTCTGCTCCCGGCCCTACCAGAGAACTGAGCTAGACCTTTGTTGTGTCTCAAATGTCTCCCCTGGGACAATAAATGCCGCCCTAGAGCTGTGTCAGTTTCCTGTACTTAAAAGTGGCCCTTTGTATTTACTTCATTTTGTTCTGTTGGGGTCCCTGATTGAGGTCTTCCTTCTTCTCCAACTTTATATAGTAATAATCCATCCTTTTATGGCAGAGTTTTCTTTCTGCACAAGCTCACTGTAGCCATTTGCTACCCTTGATTTTCTGGCATACTAATTATAATTAGAAAATCATCTGAACAATTAAGTTAGAATACATAGCAACTATATTTCTTGGGCTGCTGTAGAGACAGAGAGGAGTCTTAAGACCTGTATGAATCTTCTGATTAAGCTCAGTGTTTTTAAAAATTTCCTTACAACCTCCTCCTAACACCCAGGAGAGTGAGGCCATATTCATGTAGGCCTGGGAGATGTGGTCTATATATATGATATTTCTTTGAAATCTCATTTTCTACCTAAAATTCACGTGTTGTGTTCTGTAATATGCCCTCATTTGTTTCAATATGAAAAAAAAAAAAGGCTTTAAATTCATGATCCAGAAATGTATGCCATGTTTATCCCAATGCAAACTGTCATCCTTCTTAGGCTACTACCTGGCCTATTGCTCTGTTAGGGAACAGAAATGGACTGCCAGAATTCTCAAGAAAATGGGGACACTCTCAGGGCTGAGACAGTAGGTCTTCATGGAGAGTGGAACAGCTGCTTAGCATCAGGGAGACTGTAGCAGCAACCATGATGATCACAAGGGGGCAGAAGATCTAGTGGTAAACTTGACCTATTAACTCTTTGCCTCCCACGTCCCATAGAGTATCAGAGTAATGCAAATTTGTTTGTGTATTGTGTGTGTGTGTTCTTATTGGATTTATTTTTTTCTCTTTTTTTTAAATTTTTTTATTGACATATAATGTATTATTAGCCCCAGCAGTTCAGGTCTGTGAATCATCAGGCTTACCCATTTCACAGCACTCACCATAGCACCTACCCTCCCCAATGTCCATAACCCAATGCAAATTTTTTTTTTCTAAAAGGAACTGTCTTGGTTTTTTGTTTATTCTGTTTGCTTTTTTTTTTTAATGCATTACTTCAATAAAATGTTGCAGAGTCATTAAAAAAGAAAGAAGGGCCTCCTGGTTGGCTCAGTTGGTAGAGCATGTTAACTCCTGATCCCAGGGTTGTGAGTTTAAGCTCCATGTTGGGTATACAGCTTGCTTGGAAAGAAGGAAGAAAGAAGGAAGGAAGGAAGGAAAAGAATGATGTCAGGTTATCAGTATTTTTGCTTTAGGAAATATACACATTTGGTAAGAACACAGAAGAAACAAGATAAATATATACACAGAGGTTACTTGCTGGCAAACCTAGACCTAAATTAGCATTGACCCTAGAAGAAGAAAAGGAGTCTCAAGAAAACAGAAAGCCATTTCCCTGTTCTTCCAAGTCTGAGAAGCCCAGTGGGATAGAACATGGCGGTCAGAACCTGGTAGAAGCTCATCTATGTAAGTTAGGACAGAAGCTTCAAGGCATTCCTCAGGTACTCAGCCCAGATCCTAGGCATTTGAAATTCTAAGTTGCCATTTCAATTTTTTTTCTTAAAGATGAAAATTCCCTCTAAAATTCCATTCCATAATAATGATGTTTTGCTATTATTCAGAGTTTTGTCTCTTTAAAAAAAAAGAGTCAGAATTTCACAGGACTATGTTAATAAGCAACAGTAAACTTCTTCCTGCATTGTCTCTGTCAGGGTCCTTTTCTCTTTTTGTTTTTGTCTCTGCCTTTCATGTTAAGGCAATCTTTTCAAATGCCTAGTGATCCCAGATGCTCATTTATACTTAGTGGGATATAAATCGGGGATTTGAGCAAAGGGAGGACAGCTTTGGTTCCTCTGTTTTTACATGTTTGCCTCTCTTCACTCTCAACTGAGCTTGGTATCCCAGGCTCTTATATGCCTCCTTATTCAATATCTTCAGAAAGCACTAAAGCAGGTGGGAAGGAGTGGACACCTGACTTTTCCAGGTCAGGATGGGAGATCTGAGAATATAACTGTACTTAATACTATTTTACTTTAGACCTGATATATTCTGTTTAAAGTCTCTTTACCCCACATTCCTCATAATGATCTTCTGAGGTATCAAGAGCCCAAGTTCTTGAGACTCTCTGAGCACCTGGATTTTTTTTTTAGCATTCCCCTCTGTGGGCCCTTAGGATTCAACTTTCTTCAGTTGACCAAACCAGTTACCACTTGTCCATTCACTCTCAGGTCCCAAAACAACTTATGGATGTCATCCTTTGCCTGTTCTTTATGTCCTTTGGGGTTCATAACTTTAAAAAAAAGTTTACTCTTATTTCAGTGGGTTGTGAGAAAGGCACAGAGGGAAAAAAAAATGTCTTCAAGTCACCATGCTTAATCCTAAATCTGTCTTAATCCTAAATCTGTCTTGTTCATGTCTTTCTATGTCCTAGCAGATAGTGGTACTCAATAAGGCTTCATCAACTGAATGGGGGAAATAGGATTATTTTTTACAATTCTCCAAGAGTGGCATGAAGGAAATGCAATCTAGTGACTAGTCGTAAGGGGGCAGTGTCTCCATTCATAGTTCACCTTCAAGATTGGCTCAAAACTCAATGAAGCCTCCAGTTAAAGATCAGATTGGCTGATGAACAGAACGGATATTTTCACACCACAGAGGTATTTATAGTGTTACCCTAAGCTCAGAGGAGTTTCTTGAAGCAAAAACCCTTTAAGGAAATAATTCTCTCAAGGACGTGTGATGACCATGCTCCTTGTAGATTTACTAATATTCCTGGGGATGCAGCTGGCATGTGAGTCTTGGGGGTTTCTGAGTCTCACAGAGAGAATTTCAAAGGAGTGGAAATTCTCTGGAAGGCAGGAGGTGAGGTTTTATCCAGGTCCATGAAAAGAGAGACACAGGAGAAAAG